TAGTTTCTTAACTTATAAACCTATTTTTACTTATCTTTTTGAGACCTCCTCTTACTTCAAATAATTAGATCTAGTTATACATCTCAAAATAAGCCATCATCTTAAAAGCTTTATTAAAGTCATTTTAAGGGTATTTTCATCATTTCTTTCACCAAAAAGGCCTTAAAATGCCATTTTCTATTTTTCTAAGATTTTTCTAGAATTTTTTGAATACCTTTTATCGGTACCCTTTCCGACCTGAAACTTTTGAAAATTATAATTGGGCTCCTACTATGGTTTAACTTCAAGAATCAACCCTTTTGAGGTTTTTAGCATGACCTTTAGCCTATATTCATCTTCATTTCTCTTACTTAGCCCCTGGGGCTTGTTTACAACCTTTAAATTTCTTCTCCCATAGTCCCAAAAAACTTTCTCCTTGCAACTTAATCCCTAAGAATCCTGAACGACAGGAAAGTCGCAAATGCATTACTATAAGCTCTACACGTCTCTCATCCTCTTAAACCTCTACCTTGACAGCTCAAGGAAAGGCAATCATCCATTCTCTGACCACTGCAACAAGCAGGAACATACGAAAGATACTTGCTAGAAAATTCATGGCACACCTAGCAAAAATAAATAGAAGGATAAGAATGAAGGTAAAAATTACGTAGTTAATGTTGTTGAAAAACCAAAACTTAAACTTCCAACAACTTCAAGAACAGCTTGATCAATTACAAAAGATTCTCAAGTAAAAAAAGTTTTGCCACTAGCTTAGTAGCTACTAGATCAAGTAAGATTTTAGTTGCTTGTTCTACTGTTTACCAAGATCTAGAATTGTGGATAGTCAATTTACGAGCAATAGATCATATGCCAGGTGATATTTCTCCTTTTTCAAATCTTAGACCGTACCTAGAAAATTGTGCGGTAAAAGTTGCTAATGCCTCACATGTAGATGTTGCACAAATTGGCACAGTTATTCTTTCACCTACTATTACATTAAAGAATGTTCTATATGTAACTTAATTGGCTTGCAGTCTTATTTCAGTTGCTAAGCTAATTGACTTTAATAATATTAATGTTAACTTTCAGTCACTTGATTGTGTTTTTTAGGATATGAGATTGGGAAAGATGATTGGCTCGAGTGAACATGTAGAAGATCTTTATTACTTTCAAAGGCAAAAAGTTATAGTTAAACAAGCATATACAACAAGTATTTTTTTTCCAGTAATTCTTCTAAAGTCATTAATAGTTTCATTTCTGAGTTAGTTCTTAGTAACATTAGACTTTTTTATTTCCATTCTAATCATCCTAGTTTGGATTATTTGAAAAAATTGTATCTTTAATTTTTCTTGTGAAATTTGCTCCCTTGCCAGATATAATCGCAGTACCTGTCCTACTAGACAATGTAAAACTTCATACCCTTTCAACTTAATCTATAATGATGTTTGGGGACCATTGCGAGTTAAAAGTTTGTTACTTTCATACATGACTATACATGTTTGACATGGGTTTACCTTCTTCAAGAGAAATCCGAAGTATCTACTATTTTTCAACAATACCATGTCGTGAATAAGAACTAATTTCAAGCCAACATTGTTTGAAGGACAGATAATACCAAAGAATACTTTGGTACAATTCTTGAAAATTATCTCACAACTCATGGTATTCATCACCAAAGTTCTTGCCCATATACTCCTCAACGAAATGGAGTTTCAAAATGCGAAAAACGACACATTCTAGATATGACAAGATCATTATCACTTGCTGCCAATCTCCTACTTATTTGTCGAATGATGCTATTCTCATTTCTACCTACCTTCTTAATCGAACACCCTCTAAAACCTTAAAGTTTAAAACTCTTCAACAAGTAATTTACCCAGCTACTGGAATCTTTAATAATTTACCACTTAGGACATTTAGGCACCTTTGTTCTCTAAACTTTATGCTAGAGCCTTGAAGTGTGTTATTTTGAGTTACTCTCTCACTCATCAGGATTATCGATGCTATCATCCCCCTATACATAAGTATTTTTTGTCGTATAATGTTACTTTTGATGAGAAGCAGTATTATTTTTTCTAAATGCCCATTCATGGGGAGAATCTTACCAGTTAATTATGAATGGCCATTTGATGAGGTTCCTATATGTTGAGCCATCATACTTTTAGCCATTCACTGAACTAGAAACATCAGAAGTTAACCCAGAACATATTGGTATTAACGAGTAAAATGAGTTGAATTTTGATGAGACACTTGAGGATCAAAATTGTAATATGGAAGAACAACAACCAATTGCTATTACAGCACTAGAACAAGAATAAAGAGATGAGGAATCAAATATTGGCATCCAATCATCCAACCTAATCTCAAATCCTGCATATGATGACCTTAGCTAGCCTATTGGTCTATGAAAAAGGAAAAGATCTTATGCTACCAAGTATCTTATGACTAATTTTGTATCTTATAAATGATTATCTCCCGCTTTAAAGACTTTTTCAATTAGAATCTCAGATGATGATATTCCAGTGACTATTAATGAGACTATGAAAAATTTTTGAGTGGAGGAATGCTATTAATAAAGAAATAAATGCATGGTAAATAACTACACATGGGAGTCAACCAAACTTCCAAAAAGAAAATCTACAATAGGATGTAAATGGGTACTAACTAACCCTAATAAAGCCGTAAACACATACAAGGCTAGATTGGTAGCCAAAGGATTCATTTAGCAATATGGAATTGACTATTAGGAGACCTTTGCCCTAGTAGCAAAGGTTAATACCATCAAGCAGCTAAGCTTGATTGGTCATGACGCCTGCTTGATGTGAAAAATGTCTTCCTCAATAGTGACCTTAAGGAAAAAATCTAGATGGACCTTCCTCTGATTTAAAGATGGTGAAAACAAAGGTAGAGCCTATAAATTGTGAAAATCACTATATGGTCTTAAACAAACTTCAGAAGCTTGATTTAATAGGTTTACAAGTGCCATTAAAAGGAAGGGTTATAATCAATGTTAGGCGGATCATACCCTCTTTGCCAAACATAACAATAAAAAATTGATTATTCTAATAGTCTATGTTGATGATATTATTATCACAGGTGATGATACTAATGAGCTAGAAAGCTTAAAAAAACCATTGGGAAAGGAATTTGAGATAAAAGACCTAAGATCTAGGTATGAAAGTTGCAAGATCCAAGAATGGTAACATTGTTTGTTAAAGGAAGTAGACTTTTGACTTATTCAAGAAAACATGTATGATAGGATGCCAACCAATACCTCCTTCTATTAAAACTAATCCCAAGCTAGAAATGAGGTTGGATAGTCCTCTTATTGATAAGAAGACATATCAACGCTTGGTTGGTAAGTTGATTTATTTAACTCACACAAGGCCCGATATTTCATATGCAGTAGGAGTGGTAGGCCAATTCTCAAACAATCCAAACAAGGATCACATGACAACAGTTTATCGAATACTATGTTATCTAAAATCTACACCTAGGAAAGGATTATTCTTTGAGAAAACAAATCATAAACGAGTAAAGATCTACTCAAACGTTGACTGGGCAGGATCAGGAACAGAAAAGAGATCTACCACCGGTTACTATTCTTTTATTTAGGGGAACTTAGTAACATGGAGAAGCAAGAAACAGTCAGTCGTTTCATGAAGTAGTGCTAAAGTTGAACTAAGAGCATTAACTCAAGGGATATGTGAAGGCATTATGACTTGAAAGGATCCTCAAGGAGCTATAAATAAGTCATGATGGCACAATGAAAGTGTTTTGTCATAACACAACTATGGTAAAGATTGTAAATAATCCAGGATGAAACACCTTAAGATAAATTGACATTTTATTAGAGAGAAGATTGAAGAGAGGACTATTAATGTCATATACCTTTGGTTTAGTCAACAAATTGCAGATATGCAAACTAAAACTCTTTTAACCACAAAGTTTGAAAGCTTCTCATACTAAATATCTATTTACCAGCCTAAGGGAGAGTATTGAAAGATAAAGGCCTAAGCCCACTCAAAAGGGTTCAATTAGTTAAATCGTTATTAATTATTTTATGTATTATTTAAATTAGAATGAATTAGATTAGATAGGATTTATTTTTATCCTAATTTAAATTTTAATTTCAATATATTAGATTTTATATTTAGGTTTTATCCTTTATTTTTACTATATACATTATACATTAAGCAAATATATCAATAATGCTTATGCTTTGCAGATGAGCTCAGTCAATTTCTTCTTCATTCTCTCTCTCTTTGAAGTCGCCATATGTGTATTTAATTCTAATAAATATTCAAACTACTCCCAAAATTTAAACCGCTAAGGTTTAGATAGTCTTGTAGATAGTCTTGTAAGGGTGAAGATATAACTTATTCAATAACATTGTAATGAAGTTCTGACATCCATTAAGAAGTTATAGTATGGTCAAGTGCCTGATTGATGGTAAACAGAAGAAAGCCTCAAAGACTAAGGCCTTAGCACATGAAAATGAAATAATTCATTGTAAGAGAGAATTTGGTCAAGAAATTACTAAGAAAACCAAACCAAGTGAAACAATTAAACATGCTAAGATAACGTCACTGTACATGAAAACAAGGCAGCAATGAGTTATGGCCACATGTCAATTGAGAAAACCTCCATCAAAACTACAAAATCTTTAGAAGCAACTGTGAAATAAATAAAAGCTTCAGGTATATCAAGAAGTTTAGACTTGCTACATTTTGAAAATTATGAAAATTGTACTCTGCATCATATCAACTCAGTGTTCGTCGATATTAGTTGCTTAGATTTAGTCAAATGATTGCAATTGCAATCAATTTTCCCAGGTACAGTAGGTATCTACAGAACCCGAAAGATTTGGTAATGAGTAATTAATCACCTATCTGCTATAAAGTTAAATGAATTTAACAACATAAAACAAAACAGAAGTAGAACAATTTGCTAACTAGCTTCTTCTCAACCTTGCCTCAATATTTCAACATGCAAATTGTTAGAGCTAAGTCAGTTTTAGGTGTATGTGAAAAACATTGATAAATGATTAAAGAAATATCAGTCACGCACATGAATCTGCTAGCTGGTTTACCTAACTAGTACAGCAAACTCAGATTTGCAACCAAATCTTTCTTTACAAATTTCACTATAAGGATTTGACGAAGAATATCAATCTGTGAATATCATCAAGAGATCCATATCTTAAGCCCAAAATAATCTATCTGCACGCTTTTGAATAGTAAAAGCTAATTTAGTTGCAGGTATATGTAAAAGATACGGAGAAACTGATCAATACAAAACGTGAAATGATAGAACCTCCAAGGATGCAGTTTACGTAATACCATCATATTTCAAGTAGATGGTCCTGCATAATATCTGTAACTTTCCTATGACTGCAAAAGGCCCTGCATGACATAAAGATAAGAGTCTAAATATACATACATGAGAGGCCAATCCGCATAAAATTTTCCATTTTGTAATTAGACCATGATTCGTCTTTTGCTCTGTATAGAAACCTAAGTAACAGGGAGAGCCATAGCCACAACAGCTTCTATCCACGAAGACGAGCTCCTTGCCCTTTGATGCCAATATCTTCAATTTTTCTCGGGAATCCTTTACATCCAGCTTGATCATCAATCCCTTGCTTCGAACTCTACTCTACTCAGCTGGACGAGTCCCTCACCATTTTGGGCTTCGTCCTGCGGCTTTCATGGTTACTGTGGCATATTGAAGCACCCATGACTGTGTTTGGCCCTCTGCTCTGCAGCTTCCACGGTGGTCCATTTTCTGTATTCTATTCTTCTAGCTCGAGTATCTGTACTCAACATTATACTGTGGTTGCATAGTTCTTGGCGGGAACAACGCATATTGCCATATATTCCATGAAGTTCAATGAGAAGTTGCAGAGTCACAGATATTAAAACGGCAACAGCCAGAGAGCCAAACACTGACATGATCACTCCAAACTGAGAAAATACAAACCAGAAAACATGAATTTAGCTGGTAGAGTCAAGTAATATGCAAAGGAACATACGACAGAAGCCATGGAAGTCACAAGATAAAGCTCGAACGGTTCAGAATTCGTCCCTAAACTTTGAATTTGAAGGTGGTTGAATAGAATTGGAATCAAGGAGCGAAGTTCAAGTTGGAGGAAAAGGATTCCCACCGTGAGAATTGAAGATATTGGCACTGAAGATGACCATAGCGGGTAAGGAAGTCGTCTTCGTGGATAGAAGATATTGTGGCTATGCCTGTTTTCTCAGCACCAAACAGCCACATTCACACAGAAACATTAATGCCTCGCAGCCATCAGCGAGGCTTTTCTTCACGAAGGCAAAATCCTAGTCTGGTCTCCTTTCATTCTGGTTGCTGCACAGAACAAACAATTAAGTCGAATATCACATCATCACTGCCTTTTTTCCGAGTATCCAGCTTAAGGCAATTAGGTTTTCAATTAGGTTTATTATATATAACCGACAGTGGAGGAATCAGGAAAGTGCTAGTGAAGACCCGGGAAAGTTCTGTGAAGTTTCCGGCTCCCGTCATTTGATACCGTCCACGAAACTTCCTCCCCCTTTCCAGTCACTCGTGGGAAAATTGAACCCTCAGTGCTCATAGGCATAATAATAATTAAAAGATTTAAAGCTTAAATTTATCTCCAAAATTCAGTTAGAATAGTCAAAAGTTCTTTTTAGGATACATTGTCCGGAAAATTTAAAATCATCACAATATTATCTTATACTATTAAGATGTTAATTATTAATTTTGTCAATATTTTAACAGTTAATATTAGTTTTTAAAGATGAGACAATATTACTATGATTTAAAATTGGGTTAAGGTGCACCCAGCACCCCCATGTATTTAGCCAGGTGCACCCAGTGGCCTGAAGTAATTTGTGGTGCAAATTTGCCCTCAAAGTAATTAAATTGGTGCATTGGTATCCCATGCTAACAGATCTGTTAGTTTGACCGTTAAATTGATGAGTCAGCACAAGTTTGACCAGAAAATCTGACGTGGCATGTCTAATAAGCAGGTGATGTGGAATTTTTTTTTGGGTTAAGGTGCATCCAGCACCCCCAAGTATTTTTCCAGGTGCACCCAGTGGCCTAAAGTAATTTATGGTCCAATTTTTCCCTCAAAGTAATTAAAATGGTGCACCGGTATCTTATGCTAACAGATCTCTTACTTTGACTGTGAAATTGATGAGTCAGCACAAGTTTGACCAAAATAATTTGACCTGCCATGTTTAATAAGCAGGTGATGTGGAATTTTTTTCGTCTGCCACTGCTTTGTTTTCTCTGTTCAGTAAATGCTCTCTTCGGCTCTTGGAATTTTTTTCAGAGTAAGAAATTTTTTTAGAGATACTCCTCTAGTCCTATTTATAGGGTAGAGAGAAAACATATTTTTTGATCCTATTTGTAAGGCACTGAGAGAAATTTTTTGTATGGATATACAAATTTAACCCTCATTTATTATTGTATTGACTTTGTTTATATGAGGTATAATGTATATTAAATAGGGATAAAGTTGGAAAGTTATTAAAATTTAAATGAGAGTTAATGAAATTTAGGGTTTTCCTTGGTCTGTGTGAAACATGCTGGAAGTACCTTATAAATAAGACCAGAGGAGTAATATTCAAACAAAACAATGGAATTAACAAGAAAAGCCATGTCACCTGCTTATTAGACATGTTATGTCAGATTATTTTAGTCAAACTTGTGCTGACTTATCAATTTCACAGTCAAAGTAACAGATCTGTTAGCATGGGATATCGGTGCACCATTTTAATTACTTTGAGGGCAAAATTGCACCATAAATTACTTTAGGCCACTGAGTGCACCTGGAAAAATACTTGGAGGTGCTGGATGCACCTTAACCCCGAAAAAATTCCACATCACCTGCTTATTAGACATGCCACGTCAGATTTTTTGGTCAAATTTGTGCTGACTCATCAATTTAACGGTCAAACTAACAGATCTGTTAGCATGGGATACCGGTGCACCAATTTAATTACTTTGAGGGCAAATTTGCACCACAAATTACTTCAGGCCACTGGGTGCACCTGGCTAAATACATGGGGGTGCTGGATGCACCTTAACCCTTTAAAATTTTCTGAGCAAATTTGTATTTATAAAATTTTCCGGATATATAACACTCTATAAAGAATTTTAACACAAATTTATACCTTAATCCTAAAATAAAGTTATAGAATTAAGATTATTAATAAAACAAAATTAAAGTTTATTTAATAAAAAGAGAAAACAATATAAGTATTAAATTTAAATTTAACAAAAAGTAAAAATTAAAGTATATTTAATAAAAAGAGAAAACAATATAAGTGTTAAATTTAAATTTGAAAAAAAAATTACAGACGTATGCAAAATAGTTTCCTGCTGAAAAAATATTTTCATAAAGTTTGCCACGAGATAGACGCATAGACCATTGACTGAATTTCTCGGAACATCCTCGTCGATTGTCATATCCAACAAATAGCCCAACTTATCATAAGACATTACTCCTTCGGTTTCAAATATAAGACCTTTATATACATTAATATATACATTAGTATAAGGGTCTTATATTTAACACCGGAGGAATACTAAAATAAAAGTTAATTTAGAGATTGAATTTAAATTTAAATAAAAAACTTCAATTTATTTTGTTTCAAAATCTGATTTGTTAAGTCTAGACCCAATCCCATTTATTTACCTTTTCAAATTTAGCAGATAAGGAAATAAATTTTAGAGTAGACATGGACTAGAATGTATAAAGGACTAAAAACATCTGATTTTGCTAATTGCAACACAGATAATCAGACGGGAAAACCAAAAAGAGATGTTGACCCAGAAAATTATTTGGGGTTAAAAATTAGTACTCCTCTGGTCTTAAATATAAGACCCTTATACATCCTAAATATAAGACCCTTATACATGCTAGTATAAGGGTCTTATATTTAGGATCGAAGGAATATTATATACCCTTAAGGCTTGAATCCATTGAAATGGACTAGTTTGTTATAACATAGTTAATTAAGGCTTAAATTGCTGCTGAAAGAATTTTTTAAATTTAATGCTTGATAGTATTTTGAATAAAATTATTTTTAATGGAAAGATAGTTGTGTTTTAAAAAAAAATAGTGCAATCAAAATGAATTTGCCATCTCTGCCATCAAATACCAAATTCCAAGTGAAAAAAAAAAGACTATGGTATCAAATTCCAAGTGACAAAAAAACTATGGTTCAAATCAAATATATCAAATTCCAAGTGAGAAAAAACCTATGGTTCAAATCAAATATCAAATTCCAAGTGAAAAAACTATGGTCCGAATTGTGAAGTGTGTGTAAGAAAGTATGGTGGTTATTCCTTATTTTGGATATGCAAAATTGGTATTGTCCATGTAGCCGTGATTTGAGTCAAATTTTTAATAATCTAAGAATGTTATAGATGAAAGCGAGTAAGGAGACTCTGTGACTATGAGTGAATCCATGTCTCTTGAACCTGTAGGTTTTCTTCTTGCCTTTCTTCTTGCCTTTACCTTAAGCGTTTACCTCCCTCTGTAAAAAGAACCATTTTCAATAAAATAGAAAACCTTATAGAAATCTCCCACCTCTCTGAAGATGCTCACATCCAAGATACAGATCTCCTACTTATTAATCCCCATAGCCTTTATCACTGTTCTAGTTCACTTACTAGGAGTATCTGATCTCTCATCTCAACCAGAAGACCTCCCACTAAAGAAGTTGTTCAAACTTCTAGGCTTGACCAGTGTGGCCTTCAAGCAACTACAACTGAGCAGTATGTCACTCTTGAAATTCCTCAGCCTCTTATAAACCCATAGAGGGCACAAGGATATAATCACCTGCATGTTGGTACTATCCATCTTATTCTTACTCTTCATGGAAGAAAAGGTATTTTGACAACTTCCAAGATTGCCCTTCTAGACACAACTTATACTTCCCATAATAATACTTTGATTGGTACTCTTCTTACCATTCTTAGCAATAGAAGTGTTATTCTCACATTTGCTCCATATTTCAATATGAAGCTTTTAGATTCAACTCTCTCTTAGAGGCTCAAAGTTCAGGTACAGATAGTTGGAGCGGACTAAGATCCTAAGGCCATCATGGCTACACTTTATCATTAGATTATCTATCGGCTACAAAATCATTCTCTTGATCTTTATTTTTCCAACCTCTGCAAAGATGCACTTTATATGCTAGCAGAAAGATCTAATGATACATCTATTATTCAGATCCCTTGTCAGCTCCCAAAAGATGAACTTTCTCAGTTGATGCAACTTGAATGGATTAACAATTATGAGAAAGAATTTCATTCTACTCTAAGAGATGTTCATACTATTGCTCCCCCGACTTTGCAAAGGCAGCCAGATGGAATTGTTAGATTCATTTTCAAGAAACATTCATCAAAAGAACCCAGGAGGTCTCTAGTGAGATGCTAACTATATCTCCTACATACATCCAGCCCAAAAGAGAGCCGCCTATTGCCTGGATTGTAAAAACCCTCTACCTCAAGACATTTTAACTCATCATAAAACCTCTACTATGGTAGAAAAGGAGAGCTGTTAAAACGAGCTACCATAGTAGAAGGAAAATTTCATATTTTTAGAAATTGACTTTCAAGCTTGGGTCAACCCGTAAGACGTTGTATGCAACTAAAATAATCCATTCATATCCACTGGGCCTCCGAGCCTCTGGCCCGGGTAACACATACATCAAAATCAGCCCATCTAAATAGTTTTCAACCATATAATCCAGAGTTCATCAAACACTAGCAATGGCCTCCGGCCAACCAAAATAAGGAGATACATTCTCTCTAGTTTACAACAAGGCCGGGTAATCAAATATATCAAAAAGCAGTCCTAAATGTGGCAATATATACTAGTCATACATATACAAATGCTAGAGGCCTAAAGCTAACCGAGCTCAATCCTCTGCGTCTCTTCCCGATGGCCCACGCCCAGAACCTTCACCTGAAAACATTGTAAACCACGGGGTGAGACAAAGTCCCAGTAACCAACCTTTCCAATACTAGGTACTACTAAATAGGTGCTTTTGAGGTGTCAAGTGGGGCAGTTCACAAATAATATAAAACGATAGCCACAACAATTCATGTAAGTGCAATGATGCAATCCCATCAACCAAATCCCTCACTTTGGGGGATTTTCAGGAGCCGAAGCCGGCCTATCCCTCACTATGGGGGACGTACTAAGCCAACCATCATGCATTAATGGAGGCCTTACCACGTGGTAGTAACAGACAAAACTCTCACTAATTCCCAATTAATGCATCATGCTCAAATCATAATCAAAGAGTAATAATCATTTCACAATTAACCTCATTCAGTGGCATATCCTTCACAATTTCAAGATTTCATTCATCATCAATTAAAAACCCCACAAGACGGTT